TCTTTTAACCAGTTCACCACCACTTCAGAATCTCCTTCAATAATCAGCTTTCTAATTTGCATCTCCTTGGCTCTTCGAACCCCTTCAATGGCTGCAAGAATCTCAGCCCTCAAGGAGTCCCCTTCCCCAGTTGGTCCTGAAAACATAACTAACAAATTTCCATGTTCATCTCTTATTGCTCCCCCTATTCCAGATGGATCCAGATTACCCATACTGCTGCCATCAAAATTTAGTTTAAGAAAGCCATTAGATGGGGGACTCCGGCAAGAGAGTGATGTCTTCTTAGCTGAGGCTAATTCTGCAATTTCCTTCCAGTTTTTTACCATCTCATCTACTAAGAAATCTGCAAACAAGGCCAAAGTTTTCAGCCAATATATCACCCTAATATGGATTACCTCCAATATTACTTCCAAGGTTCTCTCCTTTTTTGAAAATATCCTTGAGTTCCTCTCCTCCCAAACAGTCCAGCATACTGCAGCCCTCATACATCTCCACATAGCCTTGGCCCTTTTTGTTGGCCAACTCGGCATGAACCTGAATAAACTCTGCACATTCAAAGGGGGGGGGGGCACCTGCACCCAAACAAAGTACACCATTCCCAAATACTTTTAGTAAATCGACAGGATATCAGTAAATGGTATTTAGACTCACCATCGGCTTTGCAGAGAGTACACCAATGAGGACACAAACAGCTGTTGGGTCTTTTTCTTTGAAGTAGATCACATGTATCAACTCTTTCCAGAAAGCCCAAGTTCTGTGTCCCTGATTTCCCTTCTAAAGCCCAAGTTCCAGCTGAACCCAGAAGTTGAGTTAGAAGAAACAAGGAAGGTGGAGACTGGCTGGTTTTTAAGAGTGGAAAGAGTGAAAAGATTCAGAAATTGATCTTTTAAAGAAGAATCCCCAATCCAAATATGTTCCTAAAAATTGATGAGATTACCTGAGTGCAGGTCATACCTGATCCATGGAGAGAACAAAGGCAAAATAGCTTGAATAGCTTTCCAAGGTGCTGCTCTTGTAGTCCTTGCCACAATCCCAGAGTCCCATCCATTGTCTGCTACCCCATGAATGCTGCCCACTATCTTCACCCACAACTGATCCTTCTCCAAAGAAAATCTCCACAACCACTTCCCTAGTAGTGCCAAATTCCTACTCCTTATATTCCCAATACCCAAACCTCCCTCCCTCTTGCTCCTACAAGCCATCTCCCACCTAACCCTATGGTCCTTTCTCTCCTCCCCCGGCTCCCAAAGGAAATCTCTCATTTGTTTTTCTAACCTACTAGCCACCTTAGCTGGAATCTTAAAGACTGATAAAAAGTAGACAGGAATGTTAGCTAGAGTGGACCTAATTAAAGTGATCCTCCCACCAAGAGACAAATAGTTCTTCTTCCAAGTTGCAAGTCTCTTTTCAAACCTCTCTACAAACGGACTCCAAAACTCATCTTTCCGAGGGTTATCTCCCAATGGCAACCAAGGTAATTTAGGGGCCAATTAGAGACTGCACACTCCAACATCTCCCTCTCCCCCATATTTATTCCCACTAGACAGCTCTTCTCAAAATTCACCTTGAGGTTTGACATTTGCTCAAAGAGTTGTATAGTGAGCTTCAGGTTTATTATCCTATTTAGGTCCCCTCCTTCACAAAAAAGTATTGTGTCATCTGCAAACTGCAAATGAGTGAGTGGCACATTCTCCCTTCCAACTCTCCATCCTCTTATTAAGTCCCTGGAGTCTGCTTGAGAAATTAATCTCCCCAAAACCTCTGCAATAATCATGAATAAGAATGGGGAAAGAGGACCTCCTTGTCTTATTCCTCTCAAAGTTGGAAAGAAATCCACCACTGTCCCATTTATCAAAATGGAATAATGGCATTTCCTGATGCGTCTCATCACCCACTTACACCACCTGTCTCCAAACCCAAAATTGACCATCACCTCCAACAAAAACGACCAATCCACCATGTCATAAGCTTTTTCCAAGTCTAGTTTGCAAACCACCCCTTTTTTCTTGGATCTCTTGAACTCCTCCAAACTCTCATTTGCAATAAGTATTTGATCTGTTATCTGCCTCCCTTTCACAAAAGCTCCATGTTGTCCGCTATGATTATTGGGAGCACTTTTCTAATTCTAATGGACAGCAGCTTAGTGATGATCTTGTAAAGGTTGTTTACCAAGCTGATCGGCCTATAGTCCCTTGGGTGATTTGCATTCCTTTTCTTGAGAACCAAGGCAATGAATGTGGAATTTAGCCCCGAGTTTATCACTCCTCGATAATGAAATTCATCAAACACTATCCTTAGGTCCTCTTTTAAAACCTCCAAAGAATCCTGATAAAAAGCCATCGTAAAACCATCAGGGCCTAGTGCCTTTGATCTGCCCATAGAAAACACTGCTTCCTTTATTTCTTCCAAATCAAATTTCCTTTCCAGCCATTCCTTTTCCTCCAACTTCAATGTAGGTCGTTCCAAT